GTCCTGAGTAATTCCAGGTGTCATCCAACCAGCCCTGAGCCCATGGCAGGGATCAGCACAGCCAGGGAAATGAATCCATGCTTATTTGCTGATTTATTTACAGGTTTCTGGGTGCCTTTGGCTTTTCCACCAGGAGCTGGTGGCCAGCAGAATGTAGAGGTGCAAAGCTTTTGGTGCTGGTGCTTGGCTGGTTGGGGGGATGAGGAAAGGGTGAGGAGGAGAAGGAAGGAGCAAACATTCCTCAAATACACTGTGACAAGGCCAGGGCCACCTGTGGGCTGGGATGGAACCACAGCTGCCCTGAGGTTCGTGGAGGTGTGCCAGGGTTGGGGGGAGCTTGTGCATTTACAACAAGCCCTTGTGCCTGCCCCAGCATGAGAAATTAAAAACAAAACAAAACAAAAAAACAAAGTACAAAAAATGCCTATTAAAATGTACAGACTCTACCAACAAAGCTGCTTAGTTTTAATTTGGGGTTTGTTTCCTTTTTTCCTTTTCCCTTTTGGTCAGTTTGGGGCTTTGAGCAGTGAAAATGTCTCTCTTTAGGCAGCCTCCTGTTAGTAACCAGCATCAAGGGTTCCAAGGGTCTCAGTCCTGATGTGGCAACCCCAGCCTGCTCACATCAAAGAGTTTGAATTGAACCTGGAATGAACCCCCAAGAAACCATTACTGTTCCCATGAGGTGATGAAGTATCTCTTTCTTGTAAAAGCATCAAGTTTGGGGTGGGGAGACCTTTTACAAGGCCATTGGTACTCACTTGCATTGGTGTGTCCTGACCAGCATCGAGACCCACGTCATTGCTAATGAAGAATTAACAGTTCACTTCTAATTGTCAGGAATAATTGTTGGGTGCACATGGTATTCCCTGTAACTCCTCTCAGCCTTGCCTCTGCTGAGGTGAGGCAGCTCCACCTGTATCTCCTGTGTTGTCAGTGCAGCTGCCCACTGCAAAACCCCCCTGAGCACCCCCAGTGTCCCTGGGACCAGAGCTCCCTGTTCCCACTGCAAACTCTGCAGCACAGACAGAAAAGGGGCTTTTCAGCAGAAAACCCAGCTCAGAGGGGTGCTGTGGTGCCCTTTATTCACCCCCTGCCTTGGAGGGGTGTAGTGAGCTGTCTCCAGCTCATTGCCTTCAGGAATTGTGGGCTCCAGGGGGATCCAGCCCTGCTCAGGGGCTGCAGCAGGCAGGGCGCTGACAGCACATCCTGCCCCTGGCCACTGGAAACACAAGCACAGGTTTATGGCCTTACTGCAGGCTCTGGCAGCTGGAAAACAGCTGGCTGGTCCCAGGAAAAGCTTTATTCCAGCTGGGCAGGGTCTGGGCTCTGCAGCACAGGGACAAGGATGGGGCTGGAGGGACAGAGCACATGGTGATAAAGAGAGTCCTCCCCGGGCAGGGAACCCTCCAGCCCCGAGGCAGGGGTGGGATTTTGGTGTTTTTGATGAGTTTCCAGAGCAGCAGGAGCCTCCTCAGAGGCAGAGCCTGTCCTGTGCTCCCTCTGGGCTCTGAGCCCCAGGCCAGGCTGGCTGGGCACTGCCAGCAGCACAGGCAGGGTGGGAATCCATCCATCCCCCATTCCCTGCCTCCCTGATTTCCCAGGAATGAGGCCACCCCTCAGCAATCAGGACAGCACCTTGTCTGCTGTCAGTGCTGTCATGAGCCTTTAAACTTGACTGGGAAAGTGGATCTCAAAGGGAAATGTACAGTTGTCATCCAGTTATGGTTCAATCAAGCCCCTTCGATGCACTTTATGAGTGAAAACAAATCAATGCTGTTATTGCACTGTATCTCTATTGTGTATAATATTATACATTCATCTGTAAGAGTAATTTATTTTTATTACTGTAAATAAAACTGTTCAAGTGATTTGTCAAGAGGATATCCAAAAATCTGGGGAGGGGGCGTGGGGTAAAATTAAAACCTTTGAAGATCTGGGCTGCTGTCCCAGGTATGTGCCATGCTCTGTGTGTCTGTGTTTTTATTTCAGAGTCCAGAACAGATCTCTGCTTTCCCTCACCCGGGGTCTGTGTTTCCCCTGGGATCAGGAGGAGCTGGAGGAGCACAAGAGCTGCTGGAGACACGGAGGGTTTGGGAAGGAACAGCTCCTGCTGCTCCTCCAGGCACAGACACAGCTTCCCCTGCCCTCTGATTACCCAGGCAGTCAGGGATTAAATACCCTGGGGAATTAATTGATCTTTGAGGTTTTGAATCTCCAAATGAAGGGGTTTTAGAGAGATCACAGCATTCTGCTGCTCCCTCCATGCCCTAGCCTCTAACAGAGGAGGGAACATCACAGGGCTGATTAACTTACAGCAAAGCACGAGCCAACAAAAAGCCAGACCCAGATCTACTGTAACCTCTTAAAATCTTTATTAATTTTTTTCTTTTTTGTCATTTTTTCTTTTAAATTTAATTAGCACATGCATAAAGTGTCAACAGTTTGGGGTTAAGATGACATTTCTTGAACAAATGTAGTTACAAGCGGTGCCTCGGACCCGTCCAGGTTTCCTCTCTACCCTGTCCAGGAGGAAGCTCGAGGTCACCCCTCCCTTCCCATCCTTGTGTCACCACAGGCAGAACCCACAACACTGGGGAGAAATACACTTGTTCACATGTAGCAACTGGGCAGGGGAGATAGACACGGGCAGCAACATCTACTCACCTACTGACTAAGGGCACACGGTTACAGACCCCAGAGACAGAGAACATCTCCTCCCTCAACTCAGCTCTGAACAACGGGAGCCTCTCCTGGCCTGGAATGGGTCACCCTCCCTTGGGAAGGTGCCTGTCCTGCACCAGCTCCTCCTACCAGGTGGCAGATCTAAGGAGATAGAGTAATTTTTCTGCTGTGATTAAAAATGATCCTTTTGCAGGAGTGTTGGGATGCTGAGGTGTCCCTGTCCCCTCTGTGCCACCCCTGCAGAGCTGGGGACAACCTCCACAGAGAGCAGCCCTGGCTCTGGGCTCTGTGTGTGACCAGCTGGTGCCAAAAGGAGAGAAAAATGCTTTAGAAATGCCCATCTGGAGCTCTGGATGCTCTGCTCTGGGAGGATGGGTGCCCAGGGCTCCAGGAGGTCTCAGAGTTTGGGTGGTGCAGAGGGGTCTGGGGGTCTGAGATGCTTTGATCTGCCTTCAGTTCCCTCCAAAACAACTCTCCAACAGCACCTGGCCTCCCCCAGGGGTATCAGGGCTCCTGCTGGCCCCAGAGAGGAAGGTGGAAGAAGATGGATGCTGTCCTGCTGCAGCAGCTGCCATTGGCCCAGCAGCCCCAGGCTGGACAGCAG